GGAGCCCGGAGCGGGACCGGCCCGGTCAGGGTGACACCCCCGCCCCAGAGCCTTGGGGTGCGGCTGCGCCGAGTGCCTCCCGCGATTGGCTTTCCTCGGCGTCCCGCCCCTCGGAGAAGAGTCTGCTGGTTGCTGCTTGGCTCTCCTCCTTAAGCTATCACTCCTCCCAGGGCCCGCCTCCGCTCCCGCGCTATTGGGCGCCTCCCTCAGTAGCTTAAACTATTGGGTGTCCCGCAGGTCCGTCTCCAGTGGCCAAAGCGGGACCTGGCCTGGCGTGGTTAGGGGCCACAGAATTTGGGCCAAAGCCGTGGCTCTGGAGTTGGCCAGGACTAGAGGTGCAGCGGTTCTCAACCTGTGGGTCGCGACCCCTTTGGCGGTCGAACGACCCTTTCACAGGGGTCGCCTAAGACCATCCCGCATATCACATATTTACATTACGACTCATAACAGTAGCAACATTACAGTTATGAAGTAGCAACGAAAATTTTATGGTTGGGTCACAACATGAGGAACTGTATTTAAAGGGCCAGAAGGTTGAGAACCACTGGAAGGGTAGAGAACAATTCGACTGAGAGGAAGGGGTCAGGGGCACAGGGGTCATGGAGTGACCGCAAGTCACGATTATGGGACCAAGTTTGCAGAAAACCAGGAATCACCCGTTCCCATACAAACAGGCTGGTTTGCACCTTATACACAATGAAAACAAAAGACCCTTCACTTCCTGGTAGAATTGGCATATTACCATTTTGCAGCCCTTATTGGAATAATATATAGTGATATATAGTGGATCTAGGCAAGGATTCTCGTCAGCCCCTAAGGTCAGGAAAAGAGGGACAACTGGACTTTATGTGCCTCCTGATGGAAGCGCCCCCCCCCCCCCAAGCTAAGAGGTCACTTGCCAAAAGGGGAACCTGAATTCAGTTTGATTTCTCTAGGTTTATACACAAAATTATAGAAAATACCTAGGATAGGTGTCACCACCTTTCCTGACCCAGTCATCAAAATCCCAACTGAAAGTCTACAAGACAAAACAACCTGTTTCTCCAACAAATGAATCTCAAGGAAAAAGAAGAAAAAGAGGGAGAGATTGAGAGAGAGACTAAGGGGAAACCTGCAATTATAAGAGACTTAGAGATCTATCAACTAGTTGCAAGAAGCTCGAAAAATTGAGACTGAGGAAATTTGGACATTGGTTGGATATTTGTAAGTATTTTAATTTTTTGTAAGTATTGAAATTTGGACACTGGTTGGATATTTGTAAATATTGTAAATGTTTTTCTTTTTCTTTAAGGACATAAAGTTTTCTTTATTCTTTGAGGGAGAAGGGACGACACACTCCCAGTCAATTAAGAGAAACATTTTTGTCAGCACGGAAGTCTTTTATATTTTTTCCCACTTATGCCATCAGTTCATAGGGAATGGGTTCCAGCAGCTCCGGCTCCTTTCATTGGTTCTCACAAAGTGTGCTTCTCCGGGTGGAGCAGGCTGACGCTTCAGTTGAACCCAGGTACCTTTCTCTTTGGCTTCCTTCTTTTTCTGATCATTTTCCTTCACACGTTTCAGGAAGCTATCTTGGCTCTTAGATGCTTAATATGCTCAACACATACATTAACTCTGTTGGCAAGAATCTTGCCCTTAACTTGCTTGTTCACAATAATGCCCACTGCATGCTGGGTGACACTGTAGACCAGCAGTTCTCAACCTGTGGGTCGCGACCCCTTTGGGGCTCGAATGACCCTTTCTCAGGGGTCGCCTAAAACCATTGGAAAACATATATAATTACATATTGTTTTTGTGATTAATCACTATGCTTTAATTATGTTCAATTTGTAACAATGAAATTGGGGGTCAGCACAACATGAGAAACTGTATTAAAGGGTCGCGGCATTAGGAAGGTTGAGAACCACTGCCCTAGACTCTTCCAGTTTTGCCCTGGTAACACTTGTGGGCATTCCTTTTTTGTTTGTTTGTTTTTGGTTTGTTTTGTTTTTTTAAATATAATTTATTGATTTTAGAGAGGACGGGAGAGGGAGATAGAAACATCAATGATGAGAGAGAATCATTGATTGGCTGCCTCCTGCACGCCCCTTACTGGGGATTGAGCCCACAACTCAGGCATGTACCCTTGGCTGGAATTGAACCAGGGACCCTTCAGTCCGCAGGATGACGTTCTATCCACTGAGCCAAACCAGCTAGGGCTGGGGCATTCCTTTTTGAACAGTGCCCATTCCTTTGATGTCCACAATATCACCTTTCTTGTAGATTCGCATGTATGTAGCCAAAGGAACAACTCCATGTGTCCTAAAAGGCCTGGAGAACATATAGTGGTGCCTCTCCTTTTTCCCTTTGTGCTAGTCATTTTGGCGAATTACTGGAAGATGGTGGTTCTGGCTGAAAGGCTATTGTAATTTTTTTAGGTTTAAAAGTGGTATTTGTTTGCCTTTTGGGAGATTCCTTATCCTTGTAGATATACATACTGAAATATTTATAGATGTAATGAAAACTGGGATTTGCTTCCAAGTAGTCCAGGGAAGTGGGGGACAGGGATGGACGAATCAAAGTTGGCTGTGAGCCCGGCCAGTGTAGCCCAATGGATTGAACATCGCCCCAATCACCAAGAGGTCACTGGTTGGATTCCCAGAGGATTTCCCATGCCTGGGTTTTGGGCTTGATCCCAGAGGCAGCTGATTGATCAGTTTCTCTCTCCTTGGTGTTTCTATCTTTCTCCCTTCCTCTCACTTTCAAAAATCAATAGAAACATATTTTTTTAAAAAGGTTGGCCTTGAATTGGTGTGATGGGTGCATGAGGCCTCATTATCCTGTATTTTCTATTTTTGTATATATTTAAAATTGTCCAGAATGAAGAGTTTCGCCAAATGTAACCAATAACGATAGCCAAATTAAAAGTCCTCTGAATTTTAAAAACATAAAATTCACCCCAATTCTCCTTCCAGCTCCAGTCCCTTGTTCTCTGCTCTCCTTCACAGCAAAATTCCTTGAAAGACTTGTCTGGCTCCAGTATTTTCCAGCCCATGCTGAGACCCCACAGCACTGAAAGTGCTTACAGCCACTTAGTGCCTTTCACTGAGCCAAATCCAGCTGCCAGTTCTCAGCCTGACCACGAATTCAACAAGCTGATGTCTCCTATATTTTTATTTCCAACCCTGACCCAGACTTACCCATCCCCTGGGATGTCTGAGGCTCATCCAGTATCAGATATAACATGACCAAAAGCAGCTTCCGATTGTGGCCCTCAAACCTGCTCCTCCCACCAGCCTTCCCATCTCAGTTAGCAACTCTCCATCTTTCTAGCTGCTTTGGGTCAATTCCTTGGAGTTTCTGAAGATTACTTTCTTCCTCAAATCTCACATTCCACCTGTCAGCCCTGCCTTTAAAACCTGGCTGGAATCTGACCTCTTCTCACCACCTGGTTGGGCCTTCAGCCTTCACCTGGATGATCCCAAGTCTCCTAACCGGCCTCCACGTTTCTGAGCTTCCTGCTCTCTTCCCACATCTCCATGGGGGCCACAGTCATGCTTCTTTTTGTTCCTCTCAAAACCCTCCGCAATTTATCTCCCTCATTGCTAAGATCTACCAGGCCTTTTGAAATCTGTACTTCTTCCCTTTCTGCTCTAATCTTTAGTCTTGTGGTTCCTCCCAGGTGCCAGGCACAGTCCTGCCTCAGGGCTTTTGCACTCACTATACCCTCTGCCTGGACTGCTCTGTCCCAAGGTCCCAAGATAGCAACATGGCTCCCTCCCTCACCTCCTTCAGATCTTTGCTCAAGTGTCACCTTCTTTCAAGGCCTTTGTTGGCCACCCCATCCAAAACTGTCACACACACACACACCACACCCTGCATACTGCTTTTCCTGATCTTAAACTGTCTGCCCCCACAAGAATAAGTTCTTTGAGGACAGGGATTTCTGTGTTTCCTTCACGATTTGTTGCGCCCTCTAGAACAGTGCGTGGAATGGTGTATCTGCTCAGTCCAGGTTGTTGAAGTTCAGGAGCCGAAGATTAGAGCCTCAGGGTTAGGGCCAAAGCAGAAGGGCCCTAGGAAGCATAGACACTTGCATGGTGGTGAAGAGGGGAAGGAAGGAGCCACAGAAGGGGAGCAAAGACTACAAAGATTTAATTTAAAATCACAGTGTCTCAGCCAGGATACCCGCCACTAGGGGTACACCCAAGTCCAAAGGTCCTCAAGGGGCTCCTCCAGGCTCAGCAGCAAGGAGCCGACAGTGCAGCAGCTGTAGCTTCTGGCCCTTCAACTTTCTTCCCAAGGGTGAGGTCCACTCAGGTGCTCACTGGGGCAGGTTCTGCTGCTGTCGCTGCTGCCACAGGCTCCTTCTGCACTAGCTCAGGCTCGTCCTCTCCATCCTGAGGTGGGTGCACCAGAACCTTGTCTAAGATGCCAAACTCCTGGGCCTCCATGGGGCTCATGTAGCGGTCTCTCTCCATGGCCGACTCTGGGGGAGGGGGAAGCGGGAGGCAGGACATGTGTGGTTAAAAGCAGAGACCTGGAGCCCTCGCTGGTGTGGCTCAGTTGGTTGAGCATCGTCCCATGCACCAAAAGGTCGCCAGTTCCCCGTCAGGGCACGTGTCTTTCCCACTCTGTGCTTGTTTCCCCATTGCTAAAATACCTATTTCACCTTTTTTTACTTGTTAGTAATGGGTGATAATCTGGGAAGGGGCATGAATCCTAAGTGGATAATGTGATAAATTTCAGACTGAACATACCCACACGGCCAGCACCCAGATCAAGAGATGGGACATTGGCCTGGCCGGGTGGTTCAGCTGGTTGGAACGTCATCCCGTACACCAAGATTATGGGTTCGATTCCCAGTCAGAGCACTTACCTAGGTTGTGGTTTTGATCCCCAATCAGAGTGCATATGGGAGACAATTGATCGATGTTTCTCTCTCACATTAATATTTCTCTCTCTCTCCCCCTTCCTCTCTCTCTCAAATCAATTTAAATATGTATCTCCTCAGGTGAAGATTAAAAAAAAAAAAAGGAGCAACACTAGACCCCCTAAAACCCTGCTTAAGCCCACTTCCTGTCACCATGTCCTCCTGCCCAAGAGTAACCGCCATCTTAACAGTGGCCTAACAGTTATGTCTGTTTTTGTTCTTTAAATATGTGGAATCGCAGTGTTTACTCTTTTTCCCACTCAGCATTAGTTTCTGAGATTCATCCAGGCTGCCATGTCATTGTGGCCCATCTCTCACTGCTGTACAGTATTCTCCTCTGTGAATAAACCTCCACCAGTGCACATTCTCCTGCTGCGGGCATCCGAGCGTTTCCCTGTCTGGGGCCTGTATGAACCGGACTGCCAGCAGCATTCCTGTCTGCATCTTTGGACAGAAACACTCAGTTCTCCCCTCTATGCAGAGGGGGGAACCCCAGCATCTTTTCGCATGGTTAGCCTTCGCCAGTAGTGCCAAACAGCTGGAGTTAGGGAGCTGCAGGTCAGAGCCGCAGTGGCTCTACCATTTTCACTCCGGCCTGCAGGATAAGCGTTCCAGTTGTTCCACATTCTTGTCAGCATTTGATGTTGTCCGTATTTTATATTTGAGCTATTCTGGTGGATTGAAATGGTATCTCGTTGTGGCCTTAATTTCTTTTCCCTCATAACTTATGTCATGATTAAACAGCATCACTCAACAGGAGATGGGGAGAAATATGGAAACATCAATGATGAGGAGAGAATCATTGATTGGCTGCCTCCTGCATGCCCCCTACTGGGGATCGAGCCTGCAACCCCTGGGCATGTGCCCTGACTGGGAACTGAATGTGGGACTTCTTGGTCCATGGGATGATGCTCAACCCACTGAGCCAGCAGAGCCAGGCGTGAGCATCTTTTCTTATGCTTTTTGGCCACTTGGAATATTCTTTGTGGAAGGCCCTGCTCAAACCTTTTGACCCATTTCAATGAAATTTTTGAGGGTTTTGTAAATTTTTTTTAAGTGCTTAGAAAAGAGGTTCTCAAATGGAGGTGATTCTGTCTCTCAGGGGACACTGGGCAATATCTGGAGATAGTTTTGTTTGTCATAATTAGAGGGTGTTCCTGGCAGCCAGGGTGGCAGCCAGGGGTGCTGCTCAGTACCCTGCAGTGCACAGGACAGTCCCCACCACAGAGAATGATTGACCCCGAGTGTCAGTAGTGCCAAGGTTGAGGGGCCTGGCTCAGCGCAAGGCCTGACACTTACACCTGTGTTGGTTCAAATAAAGGACGGGGAGCAGTGGGGGTCTGCCTGGGGCAGGGCACTCACCAATCACCTGTAGGCTCTGTTTGGTGTGCTTGGCATAGATGGTGTAGAGCTGCTTCTTGAGTTTTATGATCTCCTCTGCCTGAATGGCGATGTCTGTGGCTTGGCCCTGGGGGACGTCCCAAGAAGAAGGTTGGAACCAGTGTCAGCACGCTCATGGGAAGGCTGGAGATGGGGACCCGGGAGCCCCCTTTGGACTTTGGGCTGCCAGTGGTCAGGCAGGTGGTTCAGGGCTTTAAGTCCCTCTACACCCTGCTTCATCCTCGCCACCATCAGGAAGGCTTCCTGGATTAAATATATTATCTTATTTTCTGTATCTGGAGCTCATCGACCTAGAGCTGTGGTCGGCAAACTCATTAGTCAACAGAGCCAAGTATCAACAGAACGACAATTGAAATTTCTTTTGAGAGCCAAATTTTTTAACTTAAACTATATAGGTAGGTACATTGTTATTAACTTAATTAGGGTACTCCTAAGGCTTAGGAAGAGCCACACTCAAGGGGCCAAAGAGCCGCATGTGGCTCGCGAGCTGCAGTTTGCTGACCACTGACCTAGAGGAATGGTCCCTCTGCCAGGGCTGGCTAATTCCTAGAGATAGCAAGCAGCTCACCTAAAAGCACACGAAAGGTGCTTCAGACGATTCAGAGGCCATACTCCCCCCACCTCCTGGATTCTGAGCCACTGTTTCTGTCCCGATCACCCCAAGGCCAGTTGCCATACAACCAGGGAGAGCTGTTATACCTCGGAGCTTGTTACAGTTACTCCGACTAGCCAAACTTAAGGCTGTTTATCTTGCCTTGCCCCCAGTTTTCCCCACAGACACGACAATAAAGGCTCTTGTCACGTTTTCTTCCTGCTCCCTTTGCCTCCTGACCAACCCTGGCACGTGCCCTGTGTCCCCGCCATAGCCTGGCATGCCCCTTCCTTTTGGAGACTGTGAGACAGACTCTTTCCAACAGCAGTTGGCTTCTGTTGACCTCACTGCAGCTGAATAATAATAAACCCTACATTTTCAAACACTGACATCCCCACAGGAGTTTCACCCAGTCAGTCCTCCTGTCTAGACCCCTGTCCCCCATCTCTGAAGCAGCTTGCAGGGCCTGGCACTCACCCGGGCGCCCCCAGAGGGCTGGTGGATCATGATGCGTGAATTGGGGAGCGAGTGGCGCATTCCTGGGGTGCCCGCGGTGAGAAGCAGGGAGCCCATGCTGGCGGCCTGGCCAACACACCACGTGCAGATGGGGTTCAGGATGTACTGCATCGTGTCGTAGATGGCCAGGCCTGAGGTCACCAGGCCACCTATGGGTGTGAGCGCAAGTTAGGGGCTGTGCCAGCTCCTCCCACCATCCTTTCCCTATATTAGGCCCTGGTCTTAGGGAGAGTTGGTGTAAATGCAGTCATTTAAAAAAAATCCTCTCCTAAAGGTTGATATTTTAGAGAGAGAGGAAGGAAGAGAGCAAGAGAGAGGGGGAGAGAGAAACACTGATGTGAGAAAAATATGGATTGGCTGCCTCTCATATATGCCACAACCAGAGATTGAACCTACAACCTAGGTATATGCCCTGACCAGGAATCGAACACGCAGCCTTCTAGTGCATGGGGCAATGCTCCAACCGAGCCACTGGGCTAGGGCTAGATGCAGCCCTTTAAAGCAGGGTCTGCAAATACCTCAGGGGGGAGGGAGGTGACAGGAACAGGTGACACAGGCCAGGTGGGAACAGAATGAGAGTGACCTGTTGCCACATGTGCATGTGGGCCCAGAGTGACCAGATCTGCCAAATTTTCAAGAGATAACTAGACATTCGGAGATGTGGCTGAGGGTGAAGCTCTGGAGGCAGCCTGCCTGGGTATAACCCCTGGCTGGGCAATCTATCATCCTTGTGGCCTGGGCAAGTTACCTAGCCTCTCGGGGCCACAGTGTCTCCTCAGTAACTAAATAGTACCTTTCAGGCGAGGTTGCCATAAGGATCAAATACGTTAAATGCACATAAAGTGCTTAAAAAGTGCTTGGCATAGTAAACGCTCAATCAAGATTGGTTATTCCTTTTTTGAGGGGAGAGGGTGGTGGCGGCGGTGGTGGAATCTACCAGTTTTAAAATGTTGACAACTAAGTCAGGTTGGTAAAATGTTATGTGTGTGAAAAGGGCAAATACCATATGATTCCACATATATGAGGAATCTAAAGAACAAAATAAACAAACAAGCAAAACAGAAAAAAAAACACCTCATAGATACAGAGAACAGACTCATGGTTGCCAGAGAGGGGGGAATTGGCAGTCACAAAATAGTCATAGGGATTAAAGTTCATCATAAGGAATATAATCAATAAAATTGTAATAGGCATGCATGGTGCCAGATGGGTGCTGGAATTATCAGAGGGGTCGTTTTATAAATTACATAATTGTTTGACCACTATGCTGTACACCTGAAATAAATATAAAATAACATTGAATACCAACTCAACTATAAAAAAAAAGTTATGTCTGTGATCAAAGAGGAAAATTCAGCTGAAGGTTTGTGAACCTAGACTTAAAAGCAAGGAGCAGTGTTTGGAGGGTTCAAGACACTTTTGGGATTCTGAAGTTAATTCTGAATCCCTACTTTCTCCAGAGTGAGAACATCCCTGATGGGGTTGGGAAAAGGGGGGTGTGGGGGGTGTCAGAGTCTCCTGAGTCACCTAGGGCATCCAAGCAGTGCCCCCTCGAACTTAGGGGTTCCTCCCCCGTCTCCGCGCTCACCAGGGCTGTTGATGTACATGTGGATGGGCTTCTTGTTGCTCTCAGACTGCAGGAACAGCAGTTGCGCGATAACCAGGCTGGCCACATTGTCATCAATCTGCAAGTGGGGAAGACAGGTGTCCCCAGGTGGGGGTGGGGTGGGGAGAGGGCTAAGGGAGGCAAGTTTTGGCGGCTGGGGATGAGTCCGGGAATCAGGATGACTGTCAGGGCCCAAGTGAGATGGGTCGGAAAGAATTCAGGATTCAGGAGGGTATGTATCTGGTGGTTGGGACCCAGGGGGTTTGGGGCACAGGAAGGGCAGAGTCAGTGGGCTCAGAGCACAGGAAGGGAAGGGGTCAGAAGGGTTGGGGGACCGGAGTCCAGGAACGGGGACGGGATCATAGCTGAGGGAGGGAGTTCAGAAATCAGGGAGGAGAGGGTTTGAAGAAGGGGTCAGGAGGGAATGGTGGGGAGTACGTGGGGGCGGGGTAGCCAGAAGGCTTATGTACGAGGAAGAGGGTGGCAGGTTGTGACTAGAGCGGAGCCCAGGGAGGAAATTCAAGTGGGAGAGGTCAGGGAGCCAAGGGGATTCAAGGATAAGGGGCGCCTAGGATCCGAGCAGGAGCAAGGGAGGATCAGCGTGCTGGGTGCTCACCGGACCCATGACACACACGATGCGCTCCCTCAGCAGCCGCGAGTAGATGTCATAGGCACGCTCGCCGCGACCCTGGAGGAGAAAGACGGAGGCGAGGGTCAGGGCGGCCGTGGCCCCAGCCCAAGTCCCCAGGCCTGTTCTCCGCCGGCCGCTATACCGTCTGCTCCACCACGATGGGAATGAGCGGGATAGCCCGGGCCGCCGTCGTGTGCAAGTTCCGCTGCAGGGCCAGACCCGTCTCGGGCATCCGCTGTGTGGGGAAGAGGGCGGCGAGGCGAGGCCACAACGCGGGGTACCTTCCTGCCGCCACCCGGGTCCCCCCCACCAGCATTCCGCTCCACATCCCGCCGCTCGTGCCTCCCGGCTTCCGTCCGATGGCGGAACTACAACTCCCAGGGTGCTTTGCGCACACAGCGCTAGCTCTCTGGGCCGCCCACTCCCCGGAAGTTGGGTGGGCACGTTCAGAGGCGGGGCGGAGCCCTGGGAGGAAGTGGACTCCAGGCCAAGCTGGAGAAGTTTCAGAACCTCCAGTTCGAGTCTGTTTCCCAACGAATTCGTCATAATATCCTGCTGTTCATTACTTATTTAAAAAAGCAACAACATTCGGCTCTCCCCTAGTGGCTCAGTTACGGGTTCCATTCCCAGTCAGGACACATACCAGGTAGGGGTGCTTTGGGGAGGCAACCATGGGTGTTTCTCACATTGATGTATCTCTCTCACATCCGCGTCCCCCCCCCGCCCCCCACTTCCTTCTCTCTCATATCAATAATAAAAATAAAAATAAGCTCTAGCTGGTTTGGCTCAGTGGATAGACAATCGAACCTGGGACTCTTGAGTCCGCAGGCCGACGCTCTATCCACTGAGCCAAACCGGTTAGGGGTACAAATATATTTTTAAAAAATAAATAAAAATCAGCCCTGGCTGGTTAGAGCATCAGCTGTACACCAAAGGGTCCTGGGTTCAATTCTTGGTCATGGGCACATACCTGAGTTGCAGGTTCCTACCCTGCCCCAGTTGGGACCAGGTGTGGAAGGCAACCAATCGATGTCTCTCTCATGGATGTTTCTCTCTCCCCTCTCCCTACCTCCCTTCCACTGTATATAAAAAAAAGCACAAAGCAATGAGAAAATATCTTCATGAGAATTTAAAAAATAATAATTGGACTGCCAAACATGAGCAGATGGATTTCTATCACGTGGGTGGAGTAGGGGTGGAGCGGGCAGGAATATCAGCATTGTCCTCACTGTGCCCTGGCCTCAGTGACCTTTCAGCTTGATGGGGCCGACTCCTTTGGAGACCTTGGCATTCATTTATGGTCAAGTGTGGCATCAAGGGAGGAGCCACAGGTTGTGGGACTTACTGTGTGATCTTAGATGCATTGCTTAACCCCTCCATGCGTGAAGTTTCTCATCTGGAAGATGGTGATGATCATTATCACACAGATTTAAGGCTACCTGCTGTTGAACCTGCATACTGAAATGACGAGTTCAAATCTTGGCTCCACCACTTACTGGTTGGTTGTACTTGTGCTTCAGTTTCCCGTTTGTAAAATGGGGATTGTGAGCACCTGGTCCTAGGATGGTTGTGCTTCAGGCCCTCAGATCCAAAAAGTTCTCTCAAATGAGGGTCTATTTGAAGTGGATTTTGACTCAGGTGGGAGTTCTAGGTGGGCAATATTGCTGGACTCTAAAACTCAATGCTAGCTGCCCTAGATAAGGATGGTTTTGTACCCTCCGTGCCCTCAGAGGATCCCAATCTGATGGGGAGATAGAGCAGGGAAGAAAGTCACTCTATGGACTTGGGGGCAAAACAGAGGGAAGGACATGGAAGTGGAAGAGTTTGAACTGTCAAACCCTGGCAGAAGGCCCAGACCTAGGTCTCACTGGTCAAGGGTGGGGCATGAGGGGAGCTGGCATTTAGGCACTAGGTGTGGAGGACTGAAGAGGTAGGTGGGCAGTGCAGGCTGTCCCAGTTTCTGCTATGAGTCAGGTGTGTGGCTCTGCCTAGCTGGTTCCCTTAGGGCAGTGGTTCTCAACCTTGGCTGCACATTAGAATCACCTGGGAATCTTTAAAATCCTGATTTCTGGGACTCATCCTCTGGAAATTCTGTTTCTTTGTTTTCGGGTGAGGCCACAACATTAGAAACAAAGAAACAGAATTTCCGGAGGATGAGGCCCAGAAATCAAGATTTTAAAAAGATTCCCAGGTGATTCTAATGTGCAGCCAAGGTTGAGAACCACTGTCTTAGGGCCTGAGCTCCCACTCTGTGCTAGGGAGAAGGGCCATCAGCTATCACTACCCCGGCATCCTTCCCCTCAATACTTCATCACAACCCCTGCTCTCTCTGCCTCCCAGATATCTGTTCAGTCTATTCAAAGTTCAACTACTTTTCACCTCTTTTGTCAACACACCCAGCTCATAGGTGTTCCACCTTCACCATTGTAGGGTGCCCCGCTAATACTTCTTCATTCAGCAGGCTAAGTGACCCTCATACGAGCTAATTGAACCATGTCCCTTCCTTGCCTAAAACCCTCCCCTTGGTTCCCTATCACTCTGCTGTCTTCTAACCTCATCTCCTTCCACCTTCCTTCCCTGTTCTGCTCCAGCGGTGACATTTGTTCCTCAAAAATGCCAAGCTCCGAACAGTCACCTAGCCTTTTCTTGTGTCTTCTTCCTGAATCTAGCTCCTGAGTTTCCACAAAAAGCCTTCCCTGACCCCCTTGCTAGCCCAAGCACTCTCTGGAATGTTTGCCTTGTTTCATTGGCTGTCCAAAACAATCCCATCAATTTATTTGTTTTCTTCTTTATTGTCTGTAGAAGTGAACTCCGTGAGGCCAGAAGCTCAGTGGTATGACTCAGCCCTGTGGCCCGTGGGAGGCTGTTATTAAACCTTTTTGATTAGGACTCACAAGGAGAAACACATCTCATATAGTGTCAGAGGACACAAAAGTTTTTTTTATATATATTTTACCGATTTTTTACAGAGAGGAAGGGAGAGAGATAGAGAGTTAGAAACATCGATGAGAGAGAAACATCAATCAGCTGCCTCCTGCACATCTCCCACTGGGGATGTGCCCGCAACCCAGGTACATGCCCTTGACCGGAATCAAACCTGGGACCCTTGAGTCCGCAGGCCGACGCTCTATCCACTGAGCCAAACCGGTTTCGGCAACACAAAAGTTTTATGAAATCATACTTGTCCTTACTTTGAGCAATGTCTTTTTTTTTTTTTGAGCAATGTCTTCTGATGCTTCTATTTTATCCTACTTTATTCCATGTCATTTATATTAGGGTTTCTCAACCTTGGCACTAATAACATTCTGGGTTGGATAATTCCTTGTTGGGTGGGAGGAGGCTGTCCCGTGTATATTATAGGCTGTTGAGCGTCCTCCCTGTCTGCCACCAACTAGATGCCAGTAGCATTCCTTCCCCCATCATAACAACCAAAAGTGCCTCAGACTTCGCTAAGTGTACCCACAGAGGGCAGGATTGCTCCAAGTTGAAAGTCACTGACTTAGAAAGTGGGTAGTGACTTGAAGTGGAAACAAAAAGGCAGGTGCCCAAGGTCCAGAGCAGTAAAGCCAGGCCTCAGTGCCCTCCTCTTCACCCCTCTTGCCTCTTTGTCCTGGTCTGACAGGCCTTCCTGTCTACCCACATTAGCCTCAACCTGTTTGTTGTCCCCGTCACCACCCCGCAAAAGCACCTCTTCTAGCCGCTAGGGATGTGGTGTCAGGCAAGACAGGCAGGGTCCCAGCCCTTACAAAGAGACCCTAAAAACCAGTGTGAGCTTCAGATAGTGCTGGGGACATCACAGCAGCGTCATGGAAGTCAATGACGGGGAAGGTTGTTTAACTTACCATAGTTCAGAAAGCCCACCTTGATAAAGGACATTTGAGCAAGAACTGAATGGAGTAAGGGACCAAACCACATACAGATCAGGGGAGGGTGCACCGGGCAGAGGGAGGAGTAAAGTACGGAGCTCCAGAAGCAGGAATAGGCTCGCTGTCCTTGAGGACAGGAGTGCAGTGGCTGGAGTATAGGGCGGGAGGAGGTGGCAGAGGTGAGAGGGAGGTGGCATGAGGAGGCGCGGTAGTGTAAGGGCTGTGTGCGGTGAGCCGTGGGAAAGGGCTTGGGTGTTACTGTAGGCACCTGAGAGCCACTGGAGGATTCAGCGGAGGCAGTAAAAGAGTTTACATTGTGTGAAAGGTCACTAGAGCTGCCACCTAGATAATGAATCGTGGAAGTTAGCAAGAATGGAAAACAAGAAATACATCTCATATAGTGTCAGAGGACACAAAAACACAAAAGTTATCTTTTAAAGGGACCCCTCTGCCTTGGAGAGGCCTGATCAGTCCCTGATCTTTACCCACACCCCCTTGGTAATCTCATCTGGTCCGCTGGCTTTAAATACCTGTGTGCCACCGCCACAGTGGCTTGTGGTTGAGCGTTGACCTATGAATTAGGAGGTCACAGTTCGATTCTCGGTCAGGGCACATGCCCTGGTTGGGGACTTGATTCCTGATCCTGCAGGAGGCAGCCCATTAGTGATTCTTTCTCATCATTGGTGTTTCTATCTCTTTCTCCCTCTCCCTTCCTCTCTGAAATCAATTAAAATACATACATACATACATACATACATACATACCTGTGTGCTGCATGGCTCCCAGATTTCTCTCTCCTTACCCAGATATCTCTCTAAACTCCAGACCTCCCTCCCTCACATCTACCCATAGGTGTCTAATTAGGCAACTCAAAATGAACATGTTTGGAATGAATTACTGCTCTTATCCCCCAGCCTGTGCATCCCTCCTTCATCCTCTCACCTGCTCATCCTAAAAAAGATGGAATCATGCTTGATTCCCTCTTTTCACAGCACCCAAAATCCAATCTGTTGGCTAATCCAGTTGGCTCAACTTTCAAAATTTAGCCAGCACTCAGCTCCTCCTCACAAGTCTCTGCTGCCTCCCTGACTTGCGCCACCTTCATCTCTTGCCCAGATAATTGCAGTCACCTCCCATTTGTCCCAGCTTCCACTCCTGTTCTCCCACAAGCTATTCTCCTTGCAGCGGCCAGAGCAATCCTTTTAAAACTTAACTGAGTTCACGTCATTATTTTTAGAACTAGAGGCCTGGTGCATGAAATTCGTGCACTGGAGAAGGGGGGGAGTGGTCCCTTAGCCTGGCCTGTGCCCTCTCGCAGTCCAGGACCCCTCCCTCCTTACCGCCCACTTGCTTGCTGCTTCCTACCGCTCCGCTTGCTGCCCCCCCTCGCTCACTCCACTGAGGCCACACTGGTCTTGCTGTTCCTCTAACTCAGTGGTTCCCAACGTGGGCCACATGCCCCAAGGGGTGCAATTTAATTTTTAAGGGGGGCAATTCGAGAATGAGTTATTAA